TCTCCTTCATCCCCATGCCATTAATAATACAGCCAGTCAGGAATTATTGTTATGTTACTGTCTGCATCTTTAGACAGAGGTTATGAGGAAGTGAGAGCACAGAAATGGTGGCAGGCTTAATGACTTCTGCTTGCATTTAGCACATGACTAAGCCACTCTCCATACCGCTGATAAGAAAGCTTAGTCCAAATCAGTGTTTGAGCCCCTAATAACTGCCATGTATCCTTTATGATGTAAAAATTAGGTTAATGCAGCTCATGTTCTATACACCTGGCAAACTATCCCTGCCCTTACTGTGTTCAGGCTTTCTGTTCTCTCCCTGATCTACCAGGAGTAGGAAAGAGCTCTTAGAAATGTCCTGCACAGCCTGATGGTAGTATGGAGGATCTGGGCCTTCTAAAACCACATGTACAGGGTTTTTTTGTCTTCTCTTTTGCTTTCTTTTTTTCCACTCTGCTTATGCTTTGAGAGAGATTCAGTGGGTTTCCTCTGCAAAATATTGTTATTCAAAAGTCTGGAATGGGAGATCTTGAGGAAGCCTTTTTTCAAGATGCTGGCAATGACAAAGTCATGGGTCACCAGCAATACTGTGTTCACAGTCTTAGCTGGAGGGGTAGACATGAACATGGATGGATGATGGGAAGGATGACTGACAGGAAGAGATTCTGCAGGGCACAGGACCTCAGCAGAGCATCTACCTCTTTGTATAAGTTTCATTCTACAACTTTTAAGCTCTTTACTGCTATTACATGCTTGAAGACAGCTGGCCCATCCCTGTAAACTTGCTTGCAGGCTCCTAATCCTGGGAAAGCACTGTTGTTTTTGTAAAATAAATACAACTTATTACTATTTGAATCACTTTTTAATTAATATGTAAAACTTTTAGTGTACTGTGCAATCTATTCTATTATTTCATAATCAATTAAAGTTGTCAGATTCCAAGTCTTTAACTGAGAAATCTATGCTGCATAATTTCAGTGTAATAAATCATGTAGTATTTTGTGCCAAAGTTCCTCTTACCCTACTTTGACTGTATTCTTCTGTCTTTTGATGTGCAGGATGGAATGTCAGTTTGGAATAAGGAGATAACAAAGTATACGGGAATTGGAGGAGGTGATGGATCCAAGGGCACGACAGCATCCTATTTCTGTACCTACTGAAAGAGGACATAAGCAAGCCAACCCCAAAGTCCTTAGTGTTTGAAAGGAGAACACCAAAAGTTACACAGCTTGGAAAAATTATATTGCCCAAGTGACGCTCAGGGGAGGCACCACCAAATGTTGAAGGAAATAGGAAGCCCACAGCAGGTGCTGGAATGGTACCTGCTGCTCTTGCTGAGGATGGTGAATTATGGGATGGCAACTGAGATTTCCTGCAGGATGGTTCTACTCATGGCTGCAGCTGGAAATGTCATAGTGGCAAAGATAATACAAGATTTAATCCAGAGATCTAATGGTTTGGCACGATAGTTGCAGAAGTGGCCCTGAATAAATTTATATGGAAAAAGGTTCTAACCATTATGGTGTAAGGTTCTGGAGCAAGTCTCAAGGAGAGGCATTGAGGAAGGGGAAAGAGGGTATCAGTGGTTCTGCTGAGGGGTGGTGCTGCTGTTTGCCGGATACCAGTGGGTATTAACAACCTGGTTTGCAAGGGACAGAGCTCTGAGGTGAGGGCTCAAGTCCCAAGCTGTCTCATGTTCTTATTAGTTTTGGGGTTTTTTTCTATTCTGACCCCTTCCCAATTAGGAAAATTAAATAATTATCAGTACTTTCTAATTTTTAACAAGACAAGAATCTTTGACGTCCGATGATGTAACACCAGAATGCCAAGACACCTTAATCAGCCCATTCCACTGTCTTATGCTGAATCATAACAGTCAATTCTGTTGTTTAATAAATGTTGAAACAGCACCACTTCCTTTCTGCCTGCTTACCCAGCTTTCCTGACAGGGAGGAAGAACAGGTTTAACTGACCAAAAATCTGGCTTGTGTCTGACATTATTTTTGATAAAATGTGGCATTCTGAAACTACCCTTCAGATCTTGTAGAAATGCAAAATTATCTGGTTCTGGCTACTCTGGAGACTCAAGTAAATATTCCTATACTTAAGACAGGATGTTAACAGCATCTGCAAAAATTCAGGAAGATAAACACTGCATATATTTGGCCATAATTTCATATTGTTTTGACTTCCTGAAATACTTCTTTTTCAGTCGTAGAACTAAAACATGCTTGTATTCTTTGTCTCTTCTCAGAAAACTAGAAGTTCCAATCATTTAAATCAACTTTGTGTAAGTCAGGGTGACCTAGTGGCATAGAGTATGGCCTATGCTGTATTTCAGATAAAGAGCAAGACTTCTACCAACTCACTAAAACTCAGTACTTAACAATAGCTTTTTTTGGGAGCCCCAATGAAAGATGCCTACTGTGTCTAAAAAATGGGCTATTTTAGCTCTAAATTGCCACTTGCCTCCTACTCAGTATTCTGACACTTGGGACTATTTCTGCTTCATCCTTGAAAGTCTTCCCAGTACATAATACCAAGCCGAAACTCATAAGCAAAGTCCTGTCCTTGCATGACTTTTTCCTCTCATTTAAACAAATTTTAAAAAAATCAAACAAAAAAAACCCCACAAAATTTTTTCCTCTTTCCTGATGAACATCTACGCAGCTAGCTCCTGCATGAGTCATCAGATTTCTCAGCTGATAACTTATCTATTAGATTTGTCTGTCCTCACCTTTTTTATGCATGAAGTTTAAGTGATCTATGTGGGAAGATTAAACCTTTTCTTTTTAATTTATGCTATTTCATGGTATAAGCCAGGTCATCTTAATACTAGTTACTTTATAAAGTCAAACTGCTTTATTGCAAACTTCCATCAGCATTATAGTAAATCAGTTTGTTGTTCAGGCAGTGTGCCATATAATGTCTTTCTTAAAAAATCTTTAGATTTCTGCCCTTACCCAGACTTTTCTCATCTAATTTAAAACTTAATTTTATCTTTCATCCCTTTGTGACTTTCCAGTCAGAGTTTCCAGAGCTCTGTTATGTCAACTCTTTAGGTCTGGTGCCTCAAATCAAAAAAATTTCCGTACTTCCTATATAAGAATAGAGATTGGAGGGATGTACACATCAGAGCAAAGTCCCATTTTATTTGCTCTCTAGCATGCCCATTTGTTTTCAAGGGTCCTTGTAGCTGACTGCTCTGCTATTATGATTAAAACCCTTACTGTGGCTCTGAATTCTGAGAAGCTTAGACATATCTGAAGAATTTAATTTACAGTCATATGAAGAAACTTAAAAAATAATGTTTTTTTTGGATGAGCTGTTTAGTTTGCTCTTAGTGCTGCTATTCTACAGCAGAGAACAGAGGAAGGCAGTCTCATTTTAACATAACAGAAAAAAGGTCTTCCCAGGCATTAAAAACTCAAAAATCTTAATATTAGAATGTTAAGGAAATGTTTTGAAATAGCTATACTGCTATTTTTCATGCTGCCCTCTCAAAATATGAGTTAAACAGTCTTGTGAACATTAATATGTAAAGTCTCAGTGTGACACTACTGGGGTCAGAGATGAAGAGGAGTGAATAGTCCTTACCCTGCCCTTATAGAATAAAAGCAATCTTCTTAGACTTAGATAAAAATAGGTACTATTAGGTAATGTTTGGGAATTTCTTTTTTCCAGATTGGGCTTCCAGTAGAGTATAAGAAAGATAGGAAGGCACCTCTTACTGAAAATCAGTGTGAACTGTCACCACCATTTTTTTACCATCTTCTGAAAAGCCCAGCAACCTAACCTTCCCTTCCCTTTCCCTTCCCTTTCCCTTCCCTTTCCCTTCCCTTTCCCTTCCCTTCCCTTTTTCCCCCACTTTTCCCCCACCTTTCTTTTCATTGCTTCATTTAGAAAGTACAAATAATTATTGCCTTCCTTCTACTGCACCCTTCTATTTCTTTTGCAGAGATTGATTTGTACAGTCATGGAAGAGCTACATTTTTATGAGTTGTGTTCTCTCTGTGTGCATATGTGGAAAGGACAGAAGAACATCTGAGAGAATGCATAACTTGTTTTCTAACAGTTGTTGCATTTCCCTTTCTCAAAACTCTTTGCTTGGGCTGCTCTTTCTTACTGTGTGTTTATCATCCAAATGAAATTTTATACCAACAACTTATATCTAAAATAAAGGTTCTGAAGAAATGTGCAGAAGTTTAACATCATTTCTGTCTTGATACTTAAATAGCACAACTGATGAAACCACCCAGGAAGCATCTGTATTTGACTGAGAGGCTGGGGTGTTTTTCTGATCCTGATCTTTCATTTCAAGGAGAAAAAGCCTCCCTATGGGCAGACTACAGGAGCCAATATTCCCTGTAGTAGAGACAGACAACTTTATATATTTTTGGTAATTCAGTTTTCTTAACTGACTGCTAATTTTCTCTTCCACACCCCATCTAAATAAAGAATGAAAAAAAAAAGAAAAATTAATTGAATCCCCCCTTATTTGAAGGGCATTGCAATGTTGCCATTGTATTCACCTGTGTTAAGACGCTTCTGAAAGTATTTTCAGTCATTTACTCTGTCTGTGATGTTTTCAAGCAAGAGACTAAAACAGTCCTTATAAATATCCCACAAGACTGGGAAATTGTCTGGGAGCAATTTGATCCCAGAGATCCCAGAGAGGCAAGTGTTGATGATCCAACCCTACCAGAAGCAGAGTCTGAGAGGGCTTTTTAACCCACATTTACTCTGCTTTGCAGAAAAATAGCTGTAAAAACAGTAATTTGTCTCTTAAAAACTATGAATTCAATTGATACAGTGATACGACTGCTAACCACATGCTCAAAGGTGTGTGCTCCTCTGCTGTTCTCACCTCCTCTTACCAGGCACTGCAGTCTGGTTTCCTCTGCCACAGGATGATGGCATTAGGACCAGTCATGTGATGGGACTTGAGGTTCAGCAGAGCAGTGTTTCTTAACAGGGCTACTGCTTTGTTCTTTGCAGAGCCTTCTGCTACAGACTAGTGGGGATTTGGAGGGAAAGTCTGAATAATGCTTAGTCACAAGGTGATGTCTCGGTCCTGCAGCAAAGATGTTTGGCAAGTAAAGAGAGCTGCTGTGTGTGACACATTTGGACATCAGGCTCTGAGAATAAAGAGGTGAATCCTGTTATAGCGTAAAAAAATCCAGCTAGTGCCTGTAGTTGTTATTACCTAAGGGCCCTGGAAATTCTTGCCCTCTATGAGCAGGATTAAAATTAACAAATAATGAACACAGCTAGTGAAAAAAATTCTAGTGTGGGTGGAAACTATTGTGTACCATTTGGATTCATATTGAAATTCTCCCTTAATTAACAGAAGAATAATATGAGAACTGTGTTGGTTTCAGGGACCCGCTAATTGATCTTCTGGAAGAATAAAATATACTTTCTGCTTTAAACAACTGAATCCTTACTAAAGAGGTAAGAGGCTTGGTGCAGAGAACTGGAATTGCAGGGCATGTGCTTTGTTGTGCTCATAGCTGTAACTAAAGTCAAACCAGAAAAAGGGTGCTGGTTCTACTAATACAACTCTTCTTTTTAAGGAATTGAATGTGAAAATCTGCATATGCCTCACATGCTGCTCTTCATGGCCAGAAGGACAGTGAAACTCACAAAGCTTAAAAAGAGAAGGGGTGTTCCAGGTACGACAGTTTCTGACAATCACACTTGTGCTGGTCACTTCAAGAACACTTCATGCTGAGCTTTCAATAGTAGCTAATTCAGTGCTGAATCAGTCACTAAAGCCTTTGGAGTAGTTGTGCCTTTGGAACGGAAGAGTTTGAGGAAAGAAGAATCCTGAAAAATGAAATAAAGGAGGAGGGAATTCTCAGTGTCTAGGACCTGACAGAATAAAAATTTCTCTGTGTGTTTTACAGTTTGAAATGAAGTAGACTAAAATGTCTCATTTTCTTGAAAACTCCTTACAGTGTATCCCAACTATGTACTTAAGACTTACTGTTCTCACTGGAAATGAAACATCAGAAATGTAAAAAAATCTGCTTGCAGAGAAGTGTTCTAATTTGTCCCTTTCTGCATCCCCACAGCTCCACTCTTGCAATGACATTGACGCAGGAGTCAGTTCTGTCCAGCAGCATCTCAAACTATCTGCTTTCATATGGCTGGTTCTGCTTCACTTATTTTGACTTCTCTGAGTTCCATCTGAGTTCCAAATTTGTATTTGGCTCTGGCTACCCAAGTGCATGTCTAGACATGTGAGTGTGCTCTGGTAATGACGCATTCCTTTCCTTTATGATGATGTGATTTTTCCCATCAATCCTAGTTTTGGTGTAGAATTTAGTAATAGTGATCATTCAGATGAAACATCAATAACATCTGCTCACCCTCTTTTTTCCTAGACTTGTTTCTGTTTGAAAGGACCATCTGTTTCAGAGTACTTGCACTCTTCTGAAATGCCCCTTTTCCTTTTGCTTTTTTGTTTCATAGTTTTATTCCTGTCTTTCCATCAAACTCTGTAAAACTCTACCTTCTGCTTCTGATAACTGTCTATAAGATTTGGATTTTTCCAACATGTCATGTTCTCATGATTCTGTTGTGCCTTAATTTTCTTTCAGTGCCCTGCTTCTTGTTTAGCCCTTCCTACTCTGCTCCCAGCAGCTCTTGAGATAAGGGACCATAATGACTTGGTTTAACAGTGACACTTGTGAAGTCACTGTGCTGACAGATTTCCCTATGGTAAAATATAAACTGTATATGTTGCTACATCCAGTGAACTAAGTGTTGTTTTGTTTCTTTTTCCCAGCTCCATCTTAAACTAAAAACATCTTTGTCTAATCAATACTACTAAATGAATTAGTGTCATTTCATTTGCTGCAGAGGCTTTTTAGAAAAAAAATACAAAAAGTAATCTCTTCTTAGGAAATATTTTCAGAACTGGCAAAATGACTGCTGAAATTTGCTAGACATATTCCCCTAACATAACCTTGGTTAAGCCAAGGTATGATGCTTAAAACATTTGAATTTACCGGGAAGTTTGCTTTTCCTTCTAAAGACTGTGCGTTAAAAGCTCTTCATTTACCCATGAATCTTCTGTTGAAGAGAAAATCATATATTTCACATTTCACATTGGATTTGCTCATCAGATATAAAATGGTCTCCATACCAAAACAGTATTCTTTGGAAATCACTCTCAGTGTAGCCTGAAATGTGCTTTGTGATCTTTGGCTTGCCATAGATACAACAAATAATACTCTCTCCAGACACCAATTGCCCAAAGCTTTATTTTGTAAACACTTTAAGACCCTACAGTGGAAAATGCTGCATGAAGTTTACAGTTAATGTCCAACATAAAGAAAAGATACTGTAAATCTTCCTCATGCTTTTTTCCGCTGTTGTGGATAGTGTCCTGGTTACATCCCAGTGCAAAATCCTGTCTGGATTTCTCATGTTCATTTTAACTGGAATAAATGCCATGTCATGAGTTTAGTCACACAGAGGAAGTATCCACAATGTTCCTCTTTAGGCAATTCATTCAGATGATTAGGTTAGGAGACTGGTGTCCGTAAGCTCCCTCTGTCAGTGGAGTGGGATGTTCCTCCAGATGACAACTGACAGTAGGAGCTTAACAAATGTGTCAGTAGCTGTATATGTACTGGTAAAAAGGAGGAGGCAGAAAGGATTGCACCACATTTTTTTGGCAGATTTTTTTCTAGGTCCCTTTCCATAGCACTGAGCATGTCTGGATTTTCTTCTGGCCAGCATACAATGGCTAGATGGTCTTAAGATATAAGAATTTTTTTCCCTCCTATTCAAATTGCTTTAAATACTCTGATAGGCTGTGCTACAGAATATTATGCATACTCTCTAGACAGTGGCCCCTAGCTGGAACAAACCAGCACTAGATTGCAACTTGGAGAGGTCTAGTAAGCTCACTTCAGAACAAGCCTGGGAGCAAAACGCAATACATGAAATTAGAAGGAACAGAACAACAAGAGTAAAGAGGTAAACACCAGAAGTGGACTTTCTGTGGTGTGGGTGTTTTTGGGTTTTTGTTTGTTTGTTTGTTTTTCAGGGAAAAGCAACTGAATTAATCTGATCTTTCCACTGTTGCTAAGCAATGCCCATGTCACCAACATTCCTGGCTCTTTTCTTTAGTTCTTCAGTGGAGCACTGAAAACCAGACTTCTGCTCTGAAGTACAGTGTTGCCCCATATTGGGTGAAATGATTAATGTGGAAAAATTACAAAATAAGGAGGAAGACAGATGGAAACATGACAGAATTCTTTTTATGTAGTTAAACCAAGGTTTTGTTTTCTGACTGGCAGCTCCCCTCTCTCTGAACTCTTGGCTCTGTCTTACCTCTGCCCATCTGTCCATGTCCTGATTTCCCTTTGGAAATGCCAAGTTTGACCCCAAAACTAGGCTGAGACTTCAAACTTTAACATTTCCAGGCAGCCATGTGCAGTCATATAGGTGGAAATAGAATCTCTATGGGTTAACATCTACCTACTAGAAAATGAATAATCTCCTTTATCCTTCATCTTCCTCATGCCCCTTACTCAGAAGAGGTGCCCTGTTATGCGATGCCAGAAATTGCATGACACTGCAGTGAAGGCTATATATCAAATAACATGGAATAAGAAGCATCTCCCAGTACATAATAACAGTTCTCAGCATGATTATGATTATAATGACCAATCCTAAATCCTAAAAATCCTACACCATAGCTCCTGAACTAGAACCATCATAAAGAATTCTAGGTAGGGAATAAAAATGCTTCCTGCTATGGAGAACTTATAATCAAAGTATAAGATGGGAGACAATAAGAGATTATTGCACATAGAAAGGGAAAATGCATGCTAAAAATAAAGAGTTGTATTTCAATGTATTTCTTTCTCCTCTTCCCTTTCAATCAAGTACAGCACTGTCAGTGGAAGAGTGAAACAGTTCCACATTAGGGTCATTAATGTTTTTGGTCTCCTTTAGGTAGCTGTGTTATTTGTAATTCTTACAAAAAAGACTACAATAGGAACTCTGTTGTCCTCTATAGTGTAACTTTGCAATCAGTAACTGCAGAAGGGAAAAAGTGGGTATGGAAAAGACAATGAGGTCTAATCACTTTTGGAAACCCAAACAGTTTTTTAATAGTGCCTTCTTGACTTTTCAGTATTCTACTTTTCAGTTGTGGCATACTTAATGCTTATGCTTAAATGACATCTTTCAGGGAGTTTTGTCAATATTTTATTAAGTAGTACTGATTTAATAAACTTTTTAATTGTCAAAAAAAAACCAACAACCCAAAACCAAACCAAAAACCAAACCATGGGCAAAGGATGGCATGAACATGAATGTCTTGAAAGGGAAAGAAAAAGACGTGCCTCTATGAGGATAGTAATAGGCTAATGGATGAACAGATAATGGTAGTTTAGATAGGTTCCTCTGAAGGCTCAATCTGTTGTATGTTGGATCCAGATGCCCTTTGCCCAGGGGCCTCTTATAGCTGTTGAGATTTACTGGGACACAAGAATGCTTCAGCCCATGCCCTACTTACACAGTCTTGCTTTGAAGGCTGCCAGAAATCTGTTGGCGAAAACATTCTTTACCACCCAAAAATACCCTTTAGAAAGTCTTTTTCTTTGAAAGAGACAACCTCCCCAGCTGGCTCGCACTGCTATTTTGGTTTCTTGGTACCATTTGCTGCACAACTGTGTGTGCTGCTATTCCTGTCACCCTGTGAGTAGTTTTACCAGGGCCACTGAGAGGGTTGGAGTCCTCTTGGCCAGGCATATGATGTAGGAGCACCTTCACGGTTCTTCATTCCCCCTCAGGTTTGTGGCTTTTCCAGGTTGCTTCCTGCTTGGTTTCAACCTTCTGCTCTAGGCAGGAGGCAGCAGACTCACTGCTTTGTGACAGATGGTCCTCCTTGAGGTGAGTCCTTCATAGCTCTGCTGTACTGCAAGCTCCCTGGAATCAGGGAAAGGGACACGGTTTAATACAATGATTTACTCTTTCACCATTTACTCTTTCAGATCTTCCTCAAGATCTACGAACCTTTAGAAAACAGGACAAAGGAGAGAGGCATTAGAGAGAAAGGAGGATGGTGAAAGGAAATACAGAAAAGAAGGGAGAGTATTCTTGCACAGTAGAGCAGGTCTGACCCTCTGTCATTGCTCTCTACAGAAAATGAAACAGTGAGTTGGGTCAAACAGAAGGTAAGGTGGTCTTACCTAGTATGGACACAACATTTTGCTACCAGTGGGTAAAAATGTTTGTAGTAGGATGTAATTAATATATATATTAAAATAAATACTTGTTCAATAATTACATGTTTGCCAATAACTCTGGAGCCATCAGAGCATCCTCTACCAGCAGTTGACAGGAGGATTATTCTTTCTGAATATAGTTATGATAATTGTTTTCAACAGATATAGTATAATTCCCCATGCTCAAATGCAGCTATATGTTTTTACTTAGTTCTGGGGAAAAGGACATTTTCATAATCTACTAGAAAAAATGTTTGTGGAAAATCAACTGCTTTTTTTACACAACAGATTAGTTTTATGTGCATTCAACATTGAAACTCCTTAGCATAATCCACTCTTGCCTGCCCACACAAAAATACTCCCAGGTTTTTAGTTCTTTACATTCTGTGGCACTCCAGTCTCTGTGAGAGTTAACTGCTCTCTTTATTATTTCTTCCATTGTCAGCAGAATGGTGCTGAAATAAGTCTTAAAGAATCTTTATTGAATGTTAAGAATAACTTCAGATGGCAGGTTGAATAGTCAAGAAATAAAACAAAAAATTAGTAAATGTTCCTCCCCATATAATTTTATTTGAGTCCTTGCATGACTGAATTTAATAATGGAACTATTACT